TAGTTTAGAATTTTAGTCTCTTAGGTTTCTTAGTTCTCTTAGGTTTCTTAATTTGTGTTGATTTAAGTTTCTTAGTTTATTTTGGAATCACTTTTCCTACAAGTATTTTTTTTGGATAAGTAAGTCATATTATAACCAAAAAAGAAAAATATACAATGAAGTTCAACACACAGTTTTTGATGGGAGCACAAAAGCTAGGGCTTTGTAGCAGCAAAAGGTGGTGGTTGGTGGTGGTGGTGGTGGTTTGGAGAGGTGTGTGCTTATTCTTAATGGCGCTAATTTACTTAAGGGAAAGAATTGCAATTAAATTGTTTTGACAAATGGTGCGAACGAAGATAATGTATTGTGTGCAAATAGAAGCTCCTCGTATTACACTATTTATCTTCTAGGTAAATCACACTAATCTCCCTTCTGGTTTAAGAAAAGTAAAGCAAGGTCCACAATTTGGCACAATTAAGGTTTAAATTTTCATAACACTTTGCTCACTTAAATCATGATATTGATGACAAGTAACATCACTTTTACATTGAAATGTATTTTTAACATTTGATTGTGCACGTGTTCTTACATGCACCTTATGTATTAGGTACGTTTGCGTTATCTTTACTAAAGGGAAAGTTAGTGTAATTATGTCAAACTTGTAAGGTTTATTGTATTTTTTCCCCCAAATCTCAGGGGAGTTTAGTATAATTTACCCTTATGTTTTATTAAAGATACTTTAGCCTCTAAATTTGTTGATGACCTTATAGAGGAAATATTCTTTTGGTTCTTTTGGGCATTCCTCTTATTGATGGTGGGCTAAGAAGTTTATGTTGTTGCTAGGTAGATAGTGGCCACATTACTGAATGGTAACGATCCTACGACACTGTTGTTGATGTTGTTGTGGAAACTCATTCGCAGTTTTGTTAGCTAGTAGTGTCTTAGTCATATTATTTGCATGTGAGAGATAAAGGCACTATTCCTTCTATAAAGAAGAAGAAGAATATAGAGATGAAGTATAGTAAGGTCTCTTAATGTAAGCATGGACCTCAATCTCAAGCTTAAACTATCCTAAGGTTGAAACAACCCTCAAAGCAAACAAAGAGTCAAGAAATAAGGGAGGTTACAAAGATTATGCTTGCTGAAATTAAGTGAGAAAAGCACTAAAACAATGTAATCAACTCAAACAAGTAGTGTCTAAAGGCCTAAAATACCAAGCTTGTGTGGACATTTACACTAGAAGCATGCAAAACAAGACTCAAATGCAACAACTAGCTAAAAACAGAGTTAAAACAGTCCAAAATAAAGCCAAAAACATGCTGGAATTAAACTATAAATGGCTAGAAAAATAAGCTAATATATAGAGCTATCTAAGCTAACATATAGAGCTATCTATGCTAGCAAACAAAACACAAGGAGGGGAGGCTAACCTCTTGAAATTTAGATTTCAAAAGATGATTTTCACCACTAAAAATACTTTGAATAAAAAACCAAAAAAACCCAAAAAAAAGATGTTTCTGGAAAAAAAAAAAAAAAAGGATTAGTGAAATCCTATTCATTGCAGCTTTCTCTAGACCTCCAGGAAAGGCATGCAAAAAAAGAAAGGCATGAATCGTATGATCCTTTTGTCACCCAAGAATGAAAGGGGTGATCTCATTGTTCTTGGCATGTGAAGATGCGTTGTTAGTTTTTGTTTTTTTCATTGATGCCGAACCTAAAACTATGCCTGAGAGATAACTGTCCATACACTAATATAGGGATGCATGGATTCTCACTAAGAGACGAGCCGCGATGGCTCCCCCTAGACTGCCTGAATCTCACAATTGATTGTTGGAAAGGTATATACTTCATGTAGCAAAATAATAGAAATCTTATTCAAAAAATGAAGCACCTCAAAACATTTAGCTAGGGAAGCCAAAAGCTTTGCACCGAAGTCAATCCCAACCAAAGAAGCCATGCCTGCAACAAAAGCGGCGAAAACAGCAGCATACCTTCACATAGAAATAAGGACAAAAATATCAATTGAGAATACAAACATATGAAGAGAATAACAAATACACTAGAAAGAAAAAGGGCATGGCTTAAAATCAAATTGTACAATACAAATGGCACGGAAATCTATCAGATTTAACAAAAAGAAAGTTATGTGCAACCTAAGGAAGAGACTATGAAGCATGGGCATTCCAACATCAGTGCCGTGGTGGTGTCCGACACGTGGACACATCGGGGACATGGGGACATGCCAGGGACACGTGCGGGACACGCCAGATGGCGTGTCCCTTTAATTTAATGATTTTTTTGTAGGGGACACGGCGGGGACATGTGTGTCCCCATCGGGACACGGCATGGGACATAGAGGGGCTATTTTTTTTATTTATTTATTTATTTATTTATTTTGCCTCTCTTATTTAGTGCTTTTGTGAAGAATATTGTTGGATGTTGAATGCTGAATGTTTTCCCTTCTCGTCTTAGTTCTAGTTATCGTTTGTTATGACTTCATTGTGAATGGATGATCTATTAATTTGTTTAAATGTAGTGGTTATATTTATTGAATTAATGTTACTATCTTAGTGTTTGTTAATTTTGATTTAGGATGAATGTAATATGAATCTACATAACACATAAAAATATATAAAAATAAAAAAAAATCACAGTGTCCCCCGCCGTGTCCGTGTCCGTGTCCGTGTCCTCATTTTTTGGAAATTATCGTGTTCCGTGTCCGTGTCCGTGTCCATGTCCGTGCTTCATAGGAAAGAGATGATAATAAAATGTAGCATGTATTTCAAGCATTTTAAGGGAAAGCCGCATAAAAAAGATACTCTATTTCCCAAGCCACAAGCCACATTGCACTAGGGAAAATTGATATTTCCATTCTTACAATCATACAGAATTTGATTCGCTTTTTAAAACACATTTACATCAATTCTATAAAAATAATTTCAACACAACAACTATGCTTTTTGGGTACTATTGGATTCCAAACCACCTTACTGCGAGAAGACATGCACTAAAAATTATTAGATGCAATATTATACACAAATAAAAAAACAACGCCCAATTAGTACACATTAATGTGTGTTTGGGAGGGAAAAGATTGAGTACACACCTAACCTTTAGCATAATGCACAAAGTGGTGGCCCCAAGACTTGAAACCATAACCTTAAGGTTATTAGGCCAAGTCTTAACCATTGAACCAATGGTCAGCAGAAAGATCCTGTTTCTTTCAGAGTTGCTGGGTGGCAAGATTTGGTCATTGAGGTTCACGTTGAAATTTCTAAGATGGACAAATTCAAAAGTGAAAAGCATTTTCAGGATCCAACTAAGGATAGAGAAAAAAGATCAACACAAGATCACAGGAATCTCAAGATAGATAACCAAAACAAAAATTATTACATAAGTTCCTTTGCCAACAGTTTAAAATAAAAAACATTTATACCCTTAAATATGTGCAAACTTTAAGAGAAAAATAATATTATTTAAACTAGTTTAAAGGCCTCATACTATCCACTAAAAGTCTTTCTAAAATTTACTGTTTCATTGGCAACAAAGAAAGTAAGCATCACAAATATGATTTTCACACAAGCAAAATTTACCAAGACAAACCACCTCCCCAAATAATTGGAAGTTTTCCAATTATGCCCTTGTAGAGCTAAAACAAATTAGGAAAGAAATTTCCAGTACAAGTTGGATCTGTTACGATGATGCATGGCAAATTTGTTCCCAATGCATATATACTAAATATATTTAGCATAAGAGAGTTCAAATTTATAATGTAAAGACAATAATGAATACATGGTGATTAATCTATAAATCTTCTTTAATTATCATTTAGAAAGTTCTTCTATCTTAGTCTTCAGTATGAGTTTTACTTAGATCTGGACTTGATCAAGAGAGCGCGAAAAGGGAGTACAACTTAAGGTGTAAAAAATAGAATGAACACTTAACTGTTCATTTCCACAAGGACCTCCAGAACACGATGCCAAAACTTCTTCAGTAATAAGCTTAGAACCAGTATCGCGAGCAACAGACTGCAAATCGGGAAAATTAAAAGGTTGAAGCTTCAATACAGAATCAACCAATGCAGATTGATTGGTAGAGAATACTACGTCAGCAATAAACAAGACATATTCAACAAGAACACATTAAAAATAACACAACAAATATTTGACTATGGGGCAACTGGAATTCTGCAAGCATACGCCCACTATACTATGCAAGACCGCAGAGTACCAAGTTTCATCTGGACATGTCTCAGAGTTCACAAGGCAAACGGAATAGATGACGCCAACAATCTTAGCTATGTAGGTCTTTTAAATAACCAGATAAACTCAGAAATAAGATGTATCCATGATGACTCCATTTAAAATCTATTATAAAAGTAGCTGCAGTACTAATGACTCACTAAAAAGTCTAGAAGATGTATCTTGTGATGACTCCATCCTGACATTTTTTTTAAAGGTAAGGCAAGGAAAATCGAACTTGAGTCTTTTTGTTAGGGGAATGTGACCTAAAGCCACTGGGGTGTCCCCAAGGGCCTAGGGGAAATGTCTCCATCCTGACATCCAACATTCACCAGATCCTTTCTTTTTCCTTAATTTTTTATTTACAACTTATAAAGGGTATTTAGTTATATTAGGACTAAACCTACCAAATTCTATGAAAAGTTAACATATATATAGACTAGGAAGTACGGATACGGATATAGATACAGGATACGGTCCATCCTGACATCCAACATTCACCAGATCCTTTCTTTTTCCTTAATTTTTTTATTTACAACTTATAAAGGGTATTTAGTTATATTAGGACTAAACCTACCAATTTCTATGAAAAGTTAACATATATATAGACTAGGAAGTACGGATACGGATATAGATACAGGATACGGTGATACGGGGATACGGATACGGCGATATGCCAAAATCTGAAAAAGTAAGATACACGGGTACGGCGGAGATACTTTTGTGAAAAAAAAATTATTTTTTTATAATTTCGATAATGTAATATGCATGAAAATAAAACCTTAAGCAAATTAATAAATAAAGAGAGGGATTCCTATTAAGCTAAGAGTCTTCAAACATTCATAAAACATCCAAAACTAAAAGCAAAAGCAAATGCAAATGCAAATGCAAATTAAACAGCATCCTTACATGCCAACACTAAAAAAAGAACGAGAACCGAGAGAAGAAACATGAGAGTGAGAGAGCGAGAGAGACAATAAGGATACATCAATTAGACAAATTCTACTACTTTAAGAGGGACTAACGTGTAGATCCTAATAGGTGGACTTATTATTCAATAGTTCCTATAATAATTAATGGCATTTTTATCAAACACTATTAGAAATTGTCACTAACTGTAAATTTTCAATGACATTTTGAAAATTTTGACACAAAAAAGTCACTTATTTTCAACTTTCAACGTCAGTTTAAAATTCGTCACAAAAAGATGTCAGTAATTGCAAATTTTAGGGACAATTTATAAAAAGTATGACCAAAAAAAGTCATTAATTGTCAATTTTTAATGACATGCAAAAAATCGTCGCAAAAAATTATCTTTACCAACAATTTTATTAAGACTTATTTTCAATAGGATCTTATGAGAACTAAGTCTAACTATTAAGACCTATCAATAGTTTACCCTTACTTTTAACTCTCACTATATTCCTCTTATCCTAGAACTAAACAAAGTATTACAAGTAACATATAACTTCGAGTATCTGAGACTTCAAAATTAAGTATCGGACACTCTAAAATTTAGGAAAAATTAATTAAAAAGTATCCGATACATATCTGCGAGTATCAAGGAGTATTGGTATCCCATAAGTATCCGATACAAATACATCTCCCTTTTCGAACCAAGCTTCATATAGAAGACTAACATTCAAGAGAAAAATAATAAACAACAGGCTGTGCAAAGGAAATAGGCTTACACGAAAGATAGTGGAGATTTCTCTGGTAACTGATTCTACATTAGATTCAGACATCCTATTCAGAAGTCCTGGAGCAGGTTAAATTTTATTAAGAAAATGCATTGCAAATATTGCAGAATCTGATGATAATAACATGATATGCCAAACTTCAATGCAAAACTCAATCTACATACCTCGTACCCTTCTACGAATTTGAGAGAACTCTTCTGATTCCTTTGCCACACGAGATCTCAGGTGTGGGGCTACATATTTTGTATTTCTATCCAACTGAGGTGCCTTTGCAAGAACTTTTTCGAGTGGCATCTCATCTAGACTGTCTTCAGTCTCAAAGGAATCAAGAACCGATGGAATTCCTTCAATTAACAAATTGATGTCATCATCACCACCCCGTAAATTCCCCTCTTTAACCTTGAGTTTCTTAGCAAGTTTTTTTTCCAAATACAAATCTGCCTCAGCAGATACACGATCATGTCGGGTTTTCATTTGTAGATATTCTTCAAACTTTGTTTTCTTTTTTTTCACCATCTTCACTGCAGCTGAATCAGTATTTTTTGAAGAATCCAGTTTAGTCTTAGATTTTTTCAGTTTGGTAGGCTGCTCAGTGCTTTGATCTGTCTCATAGCAAGTTTCAGCTGGCTTAGATAATCCAACCACTGTCTCCACTGCCATCTCACTACCAAGCTCTAGTTCTTGAGTGAGACGGAGAGACACAGACAGAGAGTGAGTGAGATTGAGCGAGAGAGGGACTGAGATCGAGTGACACAGACAGAAAAGTGAGAGTGAGAACGAGCAAGCAAGAGAGAGGGCGAGAGCGAGAGCAAGAGCAAGAGCGAGAGCGAGAGCGAGCGATAGAGACGACTGAGCTAGGGTTTGTTTGTTTTATTTTTTATTTTTTATTTTTATTTTAGCTTACTTTTGTTAATTTACATTTTGACCCCATTATAAGTTTTTAAAATTATTTTTTTATCTTGCCGTGTCCCAAAAGTATCCCAAACGCATCCTTTAAGTATCCTTGTGTATCCCCAAACGTATCCGAATTCAAAAAATTAAAATAAAAAAAAAAGGATAATTCTCTATCGTATCTGATACATATCCCGTCATATCGAACGCGTATTCATGTCCAATACGTATCTAATATGCATACAAAGGCTATTTCGGAGTATCTGTGCTTTTTGGCATCAATATGTTATCTAAAGGAATTCCATCTGTGATTGATTTCTTTGAGGAAGAACCAAATCCACTACCTGAAGAAATTTTGAAGAATAGATCTAAGAACAGTTCTGTATCTAAGAAGCCCCCAAGTCAATACATACACCAACATTTTACACCACGCACATAAGGACCGATAAGGTCAAAACAACTATGATAGAACGCACCAATCACTCTATACAATGTTACTATTTCACTCGAAGTTTCATTATCCAAACCAAACAACAAACACCACACCAAAGTGACACAGCACTATTGAACATTTGACCACTCTTAACAACACATTAAATACATTATTGCTACACCAAGGCAACCTCCTAGGATAGTCTCATGACCAATCCCTTCGATACATCATCGAACAACCCCCAACCATGCACCAGTACACACTATGCAAGCAAAACCCATTACTTGCTTAACCCCAAATGAGTTATCTCAACACTAATGCCCTCACTTTGTCTATGTATTCACAATCCCGACTAAGTTCACAACAATGAGTTTCACATATTTATTCTCTCGTACCAAACTAACTTTCAAAAGCCGACCACGCTACAACGCCACCGATACTACGTAACAACCCAAACCAAACAACAAGCAAATGCAACGCCTTCATCCATCAATGACCAATAAGTAAACTCTTTAATCTACATTCTATCTCATCACTCAGTATATCAGTACAACCAAAACACTAAGTCCTCTGGTCAAACTACTAGTTGCTAATACGTACTGAATAATTACCCTGGACCAAACCCCAACACATATACACAACGCTTACAAGGCCTTTAAAGTCATACTATCCTAACTTCACATATGAACAAAAGAAGTTCTCAACCTCCTTCCACCCAAGTCACAACTTTACATTTCCTACTACTCTCTCAACCAACCTATAATACTATTTCAGCCAAAATAGGGCCCACATCCGAAAACAGTCACCTCCTCACCATCATTCCGAACCTTGACCAACAAACACAACACTCCTCCTGTCACTACAAGGCACAACCCTCTTACTTCCCAAGAAACTTCCACCGCAATAAATTAAAACTTATACCTCTAACATAAACCAACATTAACCAAACCGAATATATTGACTAGTACAACTTCACCCTCGCAATATTCTAACTAATCATAGCGACCCTCAAAATACTCATCACATTAAGGAAAACTCAAAATTATAACATATCCAACTTATCAAAATAAACACCATGTATACATACATAAACAAAATTCATAATATTTCAACAGTCCACATCGAATCGGTTACAAAACAAAACGATCACATAATAATTATAACCATTTCCAGTTCTCAAAACAAGATACTCAAAACTAACTGACAAAAACAACTATCCTTCCTCCAACACCACCATCACATTCTTATCTTTATTGCCGAGACGGGTTATCCTCAACCCCCAAAACAATCCCTGAACTATGACGCCAATGACAAGAGCTATAGATGCGACCCAGCTAGCCACATTTGAAACAAACACGCATCTTCTCACTCGGGTTGAAGTTCGACCCTTCAATTACCCTCAAAGTATGGTCTACTCGGTTCTGGTATTGGTATCACCCCTACCTGGATGGATAAGGTTGAACCCAACTAGATTGCAGATTATCCAAAGAAGTTTTCTGTTGCGTACAAAAACACCTAGTATGACCCAGTGTAGCTAGTTTTTCGTGCTCCTCGAAGGGGTTTAGTTTCCTTGGATACAATAGCTCTACAGTTCGGACTCTCATGGTTCTGAATCTAGTTTGACAAATGCAATGTGAAACACAATACACAAATGAGAGTCCAAATTCAACAATTTTTAGAAAATCCATTTATCATCAAAGATGCAAAAAATGGACTACATTACTAGATTTCAGAGTCGCCATCTAAATATTTTTGAAAAAATTTAGGAAACCCGTAACTTTTGCCAAAGGCCACTTGTCCGTTATACCAAAATGTCTTGACTTGGGACCTTAGGCATGAGAGGGAAAGGTCATGAATTGAGCACCCCTCTCACCCGATCAAAGATCTGCCTCTATTAATCATGATATGATTCTTATCAACATTATATGCTCTTGTTTTGATTATTTAATGCTAACTTACTATGTGAGGCACACAAGTATAGACTATTTCGCTTGCTTTGAAAATGACTTGATTTATGCGATTTTTTTTTGGAAAGGGTTTTTGAGTGTACACAACTCAAAATGAAAATAATGAGCTTGTACATACATTTGATCAAAATCATCTCCAATGCAAGTAAAATAACCTTCATCTACCGACATTCAAAGAGTTATTCCAAATAAGCACTTAGCCTCATGATAGTATGCTTGATATGGCAATACGAACACACATGTATTATGCTAAAACAAGAAATGCTCACCTAGTACTCAATCGAGGCAAGCCAAAAGAAAGAAAATAATTAGAAAAATGTATGCTCTAATATACAAATGACTAATGCAACACATACAAAATGAAACTACTAGATTCGGTTTAATATGTTATATGGATCAACTCAACGTATGTGGTAATGCATGTATTCAAGTAAGTAAGACGTGACAACAATGTTTGAATGATAAACTAAACCCAATGCATGCAAAAATAGATACAACACATGGTAATGATATGAAAAAAATATGATTGGAAAGGGTTTTTGAGTGTACACAACTCAAAAGGAAAATAATGAGCTTGTACATACATTTGATCAAAATCATCTCCAATGCAAGTAAAATAACCTTCATCTACCGACATTCAAAGAGTTATTCCAAATAAGCACTTAGCCTCGTGATAGTATGCTTGATATGGCAATACGAACACACATGTATTATGCTAAAACAAGAAATGCTCACCTAGTACTCAATCGAGGCAAGCCAAAAGAAAGAAAATAATTAGAAAAATGTATGCTCTAATATACAAATGACTAATGCAACACATACAAAATGAAACTACTAGATTCGGTTTAATATGTTATATGGATCAACTCAACGTATGTGGTAATGCATGTATTCAAGTAAGTAAGACGTGACAACAATGTTTGAATGATAAACTAAACCCAATACATGCAAAAATAGATACAACACATGGTAATGATATGAAAAAAATATGATGCTACGACGATAAGCATATAAATAAAAGGGAAAAAAAATAGGAGTTGGAAGACATACACATATTACAAGTGTTACAAATCTATCGTCACACAAGAGAGTCTGAATGAATGTCCTAATTAACTAATTATTACAATACCAAATAAATTAACTAAATTAACTAGTTATTACAAATTCGAATGAATCCAACTAATTAATTACAACATACTAATATTAAAGTGCTAATTTAATTGAACGGCAAGTGAGGAGCCGTACGTACACAACCGAGAACATCCTCTTAGAAATCTCTCTGTTTGTAGCCAGAATTTGCTCTGTTTGCAGTCAGAAATTTATTTTGTTTTGGCCTCAGGTTCTGCTCTATTCTGCCACAAAAATGCCACTGCCTGTACAAAATAGGTGGCCGGTCGACCTTAAAAGTGGTCGGCCGTACAGAATGGTGGTCGGTTGGCCACTATTTTCTGGGGATTACCCTGCTGCAACAGAGCTAAAACAAAGCAAAAACAGAGTGTTTTCAGGATATGTTTATCATCTATGCCCTTCCCTATCATGAAGATGATCAAAGAAAGGGTAGGTTCGGTTTACAAATCATCAATTGTCACAAGTTTGTTGCATGATGATCGTAGAACCGATAAGACAAAAGCTCACTAAAAGGAAATGAAAAACCAACGACATATCCTCCCTATTATGGAGTTACCTCAAGGAAAGGGGTAGACATTTCTTCATGAATCATTGAACATCACTAAAAAGTATGCAATGGTCCACGATGCAATGGGTTCAATATAACGTCTGATTGAACCCAACTCAATTTTATTACCTTTTTACTCCAATTTTATTAGCTTATTTTTACATTACCTTTCCATTTCTTATCTTTTTTTTTTCTTTTTTGTCCAAGAGTGATAATTACGTCCACTAAGTCCAAAAGTGATAAAGAGAATTATCAAACAAGAGATTGTGCTTAGCATAAGAGAGATGTAATGCCTTGGTAATGAACCTTCGAAGAGATTAAACTATTAAGCATAGGAGGTCTCTTTCTTATACCTTGAACATCAATCTTTTGTTTGATTCAACTCTTTATCAAAATAAACAAAGAATGGATGGAGGTTGCAGAGATGATTATAATGATAAAAACATGTATGAAAGCTATAAAAAAATACAAGAAAAGACTATAAACTCAAATGGATTGAAAGTTATATCCATGAGGACTTACAACAACACATTTATGGTATTTAAAGCATAATTTAACACACAAAACAACACTTAAACAACACAAAAACAGTGCTGAAAATTGAGTTTTTGAGGTGGAAAAAGTGAGCAAGAATGGGCTAAAGCCAAGGGGTTTCAAATAATCAACAAGCCTAAGGAAGGGTGGCTAACCCCTCCTCTTTTTTGTGACTTAAAATCACATTTTTGAACTTAAAAAAACTCTGAAAAATAGTATGACCAAACAAAGAAAAGATATAGAAAAGATGGTATAAAAGCTCAAAGTTTACCTCTTTCAAAGAGAGAATGCTCTTTAGTTCACAAACCACAAGT